TTTTTCCGGGGAGGGCGGAGGGATGGGGGTGGGGGGCTGCTATTGTTAAAATTATACATCTTCTCTATAAATTCTATTAAGTTGGGGGGGGGGGGGGGTACACGTTATTCGTGGGGGAGGAGTCCCCCGAAGAGATGCCTGAAAGAAACTCTGGATTTACACAGACGTACATTACACCCATGTATAGTCATATGTACGTGTATGGGTAGGCATATATGCGTGTATGAGTAGGCATATATGTGTGTATGTGTAGGCATATATGTGTGTATGGGTAGGCATATATGCGTGTATGGGTAGGCATATATGCGTGTATGGGTAGGCATATATGCGTGTATGGGTAGGCATATATGCGTGTATGGGTAAGCATATATGCGTGTGTGTAGGCATATATGCGTGTATGTGTAGGCATATATGCGTGTGTGTAGGCATATATGCGTGTATGTGTAGGCGTATATGTGTAGGCATATATGCGTATATGTGTAGGCATATATGCGTGTAAGTGTAGGCTTATATTCGTGTGTGTACGCATATATGCGTGTATGAGTAGGCATATATGCGTGTATGTGTGTAAGCAAAAACGAAGTAACGTAAAAAGACAGGAACTCCGGCATCATGAAGACGCACACCATCAGTTCACACAACGACATGTCTATGTTATAGTCCAGCAACTAATGTTGTCCGTGTTTTAATAGAAACACGACTAGGCACTCTATTAGCCTACGGGATGTGTTGAAAATAGAATTTAATACACCGTTTCTCTCCCTTCAAACAAATTAGGAAGAGAAAAAACAATATTTTTCTATTTAAAAAATGTTTTAATTTAAGGCAGTTGACATTTAAATATGCAAATCTAAACAATCCGAGTTGTAGACTGTCCTGAGTATTTTTTTCCCCTGGATTTTACTGGCATTGATTCCTTGCCTTGGATCTAATTATATCGGTTTATTTATAGCGATGGCGTCATCTATTTTTAAACCAAGATGGCGTTTACAAAATAACTCATTCTAATTTTTTTTTCCCATTCTCATTCATTTTATATGTTTAAAAAAAATGTCAAATAATCGACCGAAAATATTCTAGAACTGTTACCCATAATATTTAATTCCCCAGTGTTTGTATGTGTTTAGCCTGCGCGGGGAGCATACCGTAGTATTACATTTGTTTTGGTTTTGTTTCAATCGATATTAAAAAATTGATTTCTGACTTTATTTTTTTTTCGGTTGGGAAATGGACTGGACATTTCTTAATTAAAACAGCGGCTCCACAGAAAATCAATCTATTTTTTTTCCAATACCAGTACCCTTTTCTGTTGTAATTAATCCGCCCCCCCCCACCCCTCTATTTAACAAGTTTGGTTTTGCAACAATTCGTTCGGTTATAATTAATTCAAAGTCTTTAATATGGAAGTAACAGTATTGCCTTACAGATGTATTCAAACAAAACAATCTCTACGTAAATGATAAACAATATCAGTTGAGAAAAGTATACAAGATCAACCGTTTATACATTATACCTAAGTAGAAGCGTAACTAAGGGGTGAGACAGTCAGCATCATACAAAATACGAATATCATCAAATATAGTATACGTTCCTTATTTACTACAGTCTGTGTGTGTGGTGGTGGGGAGGGGGGGATAAAATAATGATGCCACACAAGGAAACAGAAACCATAGCTACGCTACTGCAGAGGCGTAGCGACCCTTCCCGGCGCTTGCACCCCCCCTCAAGATTTCGATTTGCACCCCCCCCTCAAACTTTCAATCTGCACCCCCCCCCCTCAAACTTTCGATTTGCACACCCCCCTCAAGCTTTCAATTTGCACCCCCCTCAACCTATCAATTTATTTTTCCAACCCATTTTGGCGCCCCCTTAGGTCGGCGCCCGGGGACATATGTCCCCCCCCCCCCTCGCTACGCTACTGCGCCACTGTGCCTATGTAATATGAAAATAAAAACCAATAATTTGTAATAGTTGCGCAATAAGCCTTTATTATCCCAACACGATTATGAACATTCAACACCTGTTGGCGTCTGCTCATGCACTGGCCGTTACTAAATTTTTCCTTTCCGACCTGGGACGGATGTTGAAATCATGTTTTTGTAAGCTCGATCTAATTAGGTTAATGCTCGTAATTTTTAAACTCCACTAATTTCAAGTAAAATTATGCCACAAAAAACAGGATTTTTTTCCCTACACATTGATACCAATTGTGTGTCTCTAGCTTCATTAGGGGCTAAGATATAGCCTTTTAAAAATGTGTGGGCGTGGCTGAAACAGCTTAGACTCTAATCTATGAAGGGATAGTGTGGTCAGTGGTCAGCATTATGCACAGCCGCCTTTACATTCCATAAAGTGAGTCAGGTGCTTTTCAGAGCTGGGTGGACTTTAAACGTCAAAAAAGACTCAAACCCGGGATCCGAACTTGAGACTTAAGGGTTAGCAGTCGCGCGTTCTATCATCCGGCAACGCCCTTCCATATTTTCTGTTCGATATGTCTTGTCACTGATCACCATTATTAAAAACTAATTTAGTTAATTCGTCGACAGCAACAAATGAATGTTTTTCCAATTGTTTTAAGAGGATATTTATTTTTAACTTTTCTAAACTGTAGAAACTACATGACACCACATGATAAGAACAGACCAGTGGGGGTGGAACGAGTAGGCTAATCGGGCATCAGGTCTAGGCCCCCAAATATATAGCAACCCTTCTAAATGCTCATTTTTTTTTAACGTTAGTGAATTTGTTAATTTTTATACCAAATACTTTGCAAATAAATGTCCTTAATACATTTATCTCTCATTTAGAAAATAAACCGGTAGTGATCTCCCCTAAACTTTCTCGAATATTCTTATATAAAACAACAGGGGATGGTAACTGGGGATATAGTTATGATTTTTAATCCATTTTAAATACTGAAACTTTTAAAAATAGAATAGAATCTCAGTAAAAAACAATTGCGCACCAAGCGAACGTCTAATAAAGGTGTGTATAATAGTGCGCAATAGTATTAGTACTTATAAATTTACATTAGTTTTTTGAGAAATCGGAAGTAGCGTAAATTACTACTTCCGGTCAACGGAAATTACTCAAAATTTAACAGAAGGTAGAGAATTAGATCTTTTACTTACATGTGAAATTTCATTTATCTATCTGAAATATTACTCAAGTTATAGGCTTTTGAAAAATTCAAAGTAGAAAAAGTACCACTTCCGGTTGTCGGAAATCGCTCAAAAGTTGATACGGATCTACGATTTTGATATAATACTTATATATGAAATTTCATCAACCTAGCTGTAACGGTACTCAAGTTATCGTGTTTACACACGGACACACACACAGACACACACACACACAGACATACGGACAAGATTGCAAAATTATGTTTTTTCCGTATCAGTGAGGTGTAAAACGTCGAGATTTGTAAAAATCTCGATTTTTTTTTGCACGATTACAATACTTTCTCTATACTACGTATATACGAGAAAGTAAAAACAATGTAAAATAGATACTTTCTAAAATATTTTAAAAGTCGTTGATGTAATCGTGTATGTAGTACTCAATTATGTGACTGCCATTATCAAGAATTTCTAGACAAACACCTGACATAAACCCCATTTGAAAAAAAAAACCATACGCGACAAGAAAAAAATAAACCCTGAAATAAACCCTTTTAACAAAAAACCCTCAATTTTTTAACTAAACATATATGGCCTAACAGTTTAGATGCATTTTGTTCGTATTTGTTTACAACACGTGACCAAAGACGGAATATGGAGTGAAAAAAAGACAACTTTTGTGTTACACAATATATCCACTATTCAAAATATTAAATCATCTGATTCCAATTTTTTAAAATATGTTGCTTGACCGTTTTGCTTATTGTTTTAATTAGTTGTTTTTTTTTAAATGTAAAACGAATAATTATGGCTGAGATAACTGTTTGAAAGGGTAGCACTTAGCAGTCTTCGCAAAAATTTCTAAGGATAGATATTTTACATAAAATGTAAAAAAGTCGAACTGGCTATATCGGTTCACCTCAAATGAGAGCAGAGGATTGTCCAGGCAAAATAAGCTTCGATAAAAGAAATTCCGATAGTATAGCTACCGACAATATGGCTCTCGTCAATATTGGCGGCTCCTAGTAAAGTTCCTTTCCGAACATGGCGTCCCTCGGTGCAGATGAAGCAGAGTTCACTGTTTCTTGGCCAGTGTTTCTTCCAGACTTTTTCCTCCGGGGGGGGGGGGGGCACTTGAAATTTTCGGGGGGGGGGTCAATATTTTCCGGGGGGGGGGGGGGGCGGACACAAGTGAAAGTATATGTTTACTATATAAATTCCATCTCGTTCGGGGGGGGGGGGGCGGTAGATGCCTGGAAGAAACTCTGTCTGTGACCTCGGTATATGAAATGATAGTGTGGTCAGCACTATGCCCAGCCGCCTTTACTTTCCTTAACCAGCAGCCCATCAGAATTGTGCGGTCTCAGGGACGTGCTCGAGACTTTACATTTGAATGCACGCTAGCTAGTAGTAGATCTGCTGTTATGTATCATTACTGGTAGCCATATCAGCTGTAGAATTTTTAAATACTAGATACAGATTCATATTAGATCCAGATTCTACATCTATTTTAGAAGTACATAAATAATTTAAATACTAAATACAGATTCAGATAAGATCTAGATTTTACACCTATTACTATTATTCGTATTCGTATTTAGACTCTACTCTATGTTTGATAAACTCATGGTTCTGATATCAACCTGATATCCATCTATAACAGTTTATTACCATCTTCCTAAACCCTCGCTCCACCCATTTATTACACTAACAGCTGTTTCCTGCATGAAATATGTGCTATATTTTCCCCTTGATCTGAGATCGATATTAACCGGCAAGACGTTTTCAAAGCCGGTTCACGTTATCACAATATATATTGATCCGCTGTCAATTCGAGTGTTCGCGCGCGCACAAAAAGTAGTACCAGAAATAGAAACTCACCGTGTGTTGGTGGTGTGTTCACACAGCTCGCCCGACTACTTCCTGTCTAGTGAACACTTGATGCTAGTGTGTTAGAAAATTTGTAAACAAACTCAGCACACGTGTGTACACTCCAGCAAAAATGTTTATTTTTAGCTCTCCATCGTATCCGCCTGCCCGGCCGTTGCGTCCGTCCAGTTCTTCTACCCGGGATAAATTATGTTTAAACGAAATCGGCGCGGGAGGTTGAAACTGGAAACTCCGGCGTCTGCTGATAAATCTAACCAACGGCGCGAGGGAGCGGGCGAGTCGTGCTCGTGGGTGGCGGGGCGGTGGTGTGTCACGCGATGACTGCGAGGGGTCCCTGAGTCCAACATTACGTGGGATGTCAGCATTAATAGGTCGCGGGTGGGAGAGGGGTGGGGGGGGGGGGGGGGGGGGGGGGGGGAGGGGGAGAAGATATTTTAATTTATTGTCTCGTCTAGACATGGGCGTCGCCAGATATCATTTCACCCCCCCCCCTCCCCCGATGTGCTTGTGTGCAGTGTTTCATGTATGTATCTCTCTAGGAGGTGGGAAGTTCTACTCAGAACAAATAGAAACAATATATAATTAGTATATACAGAATATATACTTCAACCCATGTTCAACACTCTTATCCGTCGCTTCAATATCCTCCCGGTAGCTTCTTCTCCACCCCCTCCCTCCCATCCTCCTCAGAAGTTTTAAGTTTTAAGTGCCTCCCGGAAGTCACATACCCCCCCCCTCCCCGCTTTCAGAAAAAAACGTCTAGTAAAACGTGCGTTATTTAAACATCCCCAATAAATGATTTTAAAAATTAAGAAATAGATCTATGTAAAATTGTAGGATCCTTTTTAGAGTTGTCCTCTTATTCCTTCTTAATTCTAGTCTTGGAAGAGATTCTGTCCAATACAGTTTTAAGTACTTTTTATTTTGGATTTGCTTCCATAGCCTTTGTCCAACCAAGAACAAACTACAAGGCAGCAGTTGTTTGACTTTGGAGTTGTCCCTACTAGAAGAGTGGCTGTCCCCAGCTAACGAGCCTCATCTGCTCGAGGATGGAGATAGATGGAGAAAGATAATGTGTATGGGCCGTATGTTTTGCTTATATTTCAGAGGCGCAGCGACGCTTCCCGGCGCCCGGGGACAAACTTTCAATTTGCACCCCCCCCCCCCCCACTCAAACTTTCAATTTTCACCCCCCTCAAACTTTCGATTTGCACCCCCCATATATATATATATATATATATATATATATATATATATATATATATATATATATATATATATATATATATATATCTATATATATAAAGCAAAGTGGTCAAGTGCCCGATAGGGCACTTCCCGGCGCCGCAGGCGCGTCAAATTTGGCACGATGGTGCCTTCGGGCGATAGAACACGAGGGCCGGTGACGGTTGGCCGAAAAATATACGGAGAGGGGGTCAAAACTGACCTCGACTGACCGGCGCCTTATATGGGCTATATTACGAAAAAAAATTTCCTCCGACGACCCCCCTTGATATTTTGTGAGGTGGTAGGAGAATGCCTTGGGGTGTCACAAAAAACTCGGCATATCTGGGAAAACTTCGTAAAGGGGTCAAAACTGACCAGTCGTATTTCCCTATATAATCTTTGTATTTTATGGGGAAAACAGAGGGTCATTTCAAAACGGATTTTAGGGCACTTACCTTCTTTACATCTGGCTAAGTTTTGGCATGCTTATAGGTAAATGGCTTGGCCGTAGGTCAGACATGTCGGTTTTACTCATAGCCCTCGACGAGGGCTAAAAAGTGACCGCGAGTGAAATTCTCTTTATATGAGCTCTATTACGAAAAAAAATTTCCTCCGACGACCCCCCTTGAAATTTTGTGAGGTGGTAGGAGAACGCCTAGGGGTGTCACAAAAAACTCGGCATATCTCGGAAAAATCAGGAAGTGGGTCAAAACTGACCAGTCGTATTTCCCTATATAATCTTTGTATTTTATGGGAAAAACAGAGGGTCATTTCAACGCAGGCTTTAGGGTACTTAAACTCAGTATATCTGGCTATTTTTTTGCATACTCTTAGGTCAATGGCTTGACCTTTAGGGAAAACTGTCGGTTTAACTCAAAGCCCTCAACGAGGGCTAAAATGTGACCGCGAGTGAAATTCTCTTTATATGAGCTCTATTACGAAAAAAAATTTCCTCCGACGACCCCCCTTGAAATTTTGTGAGGTGGTAGGAGAACGCCTTGGGGTGTCACAAAAAACTCGGCATATCTGGGAAAACTTCGTAAAGGGGTCAAAACTGACCAGTCGTATTTCCCTATATAATCTTTGTATTTTATGGGGAAAACAGAGGGTCATTTCAAAACGGATTTTAGGGCACTTACCTTCTTTACATCTGGCTAAGTTTTGGCATGCTTATAGGTAAATGGCTTGGCCGTAGGTCAGACATGTCGGTTTTACTCATAGCCCTCGACGAGGGCTAAAAAGTGACCGCGAGTGAAATTCTCTTTATATGAGCTCTATTACGAAAAAAAATTTCCTCCGACGACCCCCCTTGAAATTTTGTGAGGTGGTAGGAGAACGCCTAGGGGTGTCACAAAAAACTCGGCATATCTCGGAAAAATCAGGAAGTGGGTCAAAACTGACCAGTCGTATTTCCCTATATAATCTTTGTATTTTATGGGAAAAACAGAGGGTCATTTCAACGCAGGCTTTAGGGTACTTAAACTCAGTATATCTGGCTATTTTTTTGCATACTCTTAGGTCAATGGCTTGACCTTTAGGGAAAACTGTCGGTTTAACTCAAAGCCCTCAACGAGGGCTAAAATGTGACCGCGAGTGAAATTCTCTTTATATGAGCTCTATTACGAAAAAAAATTTCCTCCGACGACCCCCCTTGAAATTTTGTGAGGTGGTAGGAGAACGCCTTGGGGTGTCACAAAAAACTCGGCATATCTGGGAAAACTTCGTAAAGGGGTCAAAACTGACCAGTCGTATTTCCCTATATAATCTTTGTATTTTATGGAAAAAAACAGGGTAATTTCAACACAATTTTTACGTTACTTAACCTCTGTACATCATGCTAATGTTTTGCATACACTTCTATAGATGACTAGGCCGTATGGAAAAACTGTTGGTCAGACTCAAAGCCCTCGACCAGTGCTAAAAGATGACCGCGAGTGAAATTCTCCTTATATGAGATATATATAAATAATTTGACGATCGATCCCGTTAATATTATTTGAGGTCGTAGACCGACCCTGGAGGGTAACAAAAAAACTTTAATCCCGTCGGAAAAAGCTATTGTAGTCGTTAAATATGTTTATATATCGTATTTTCTTATATAAGCATAGTAACTGTTTGTTTAAAAAAAAAGTAAACACAGAGATACGTCATTCGGTTAATTTCCAAGGGAGGTAACCTTTTTAAATAATTATTTTTCAAATAATTGTATACTATTTTAAACAGAAACAGAAAACGACAAAGTATAGCATTTGTTTTAGATAAAAATAAGTTATTAATTAAGCTACGTATCATAATTAAATAAAAAATTAATTTTAAAAGTCAATGTAATATAAATTATGAGATATACTGTTCATGGAACCTCTGTAGTTCTATTTCCATCTTAGTTATAAATTGCGTACTTTCGAACACTTTCTCTGAAAGCTGATGTTAAAGAGCATAGGCCTACAACATCTTCTCTAAAATTAGCATTACTGTTTACATTTAAGCACTCCACGCCTCATCCATCACCTAATAATTACTATTCAAATTATCAAATATTTTTGAAAACCTAAGCGAAGCTAGGCAGTATGCCTAGTATATATATATATATATATATATATATATATATATATATATATATATATATATATATATATATATATATATATATATATATATATATATATATATATATATATAATGCAAAACTGCAGCTAAAATGCGATTTAAATTTGTTTTTACATCCCATTTTGACGCCCCCTAAGGTCGGCGCCCGGGGACATATGTACCCCCCCCCCCCCGCCCCCCCCACTCGCTACGCCTCTGTTGTACTTTGCATTGCTGTGACGTCGAAGGCGTCAGTGGGCCCTGTCATAGTTAAATAGAGGAATTTGTTGGTTACTGATTATTATATGGCCTCGCAGGTTTGGTTGTCCTCTTGATGAGATGAATACGTGCATTGAAGGCGAGGCTGATGCAGTCGAAAGAGGTCTGAGCATTCTCCTTCATGTAGATCTAGAGTTACTGTTGTTGAATCTGAAAAGGTGAAGGCCATTTGTTTCATTTAACGACTTGAACCGTGGCTCATGTACATCTAGAGTTACTGTTGTTGAATCTGAAAAGGTGTGGGCCATTTGTTTCATTTAACGACTTGAGCCGTGGCTCATGTAGATCTAGAGTTACTGTTGTTAAATCTAAAAAGATTGGGGCCATTTGTTTCATTAAACTACTTGAGCCGTGGCTCATGTAGATCTAGAGTTACTGTTGTTAAATCTAAAAAGATTGGGGCCATTTGTTTCATTAAACTACTTGAACCGTGGCTCAGGTAGCTCCCGGCATCAGAGTTTCTTCCAGCCCCCCCCCCCCCCCCCCCCCCCCGAACGAAATGAAATTTATATAATTTATATAGAAAATATATACTTTTAACAGTGTCCGCCCCCCCCCCCCGAAGAAAGTCTACCGCCCCCCCCCCGAAAATTTCAAGTGCCCTCCCCCCCCCCCCCCCCCGGCGAAAAAAGTCTGGAAGAAACACTGCCCGTCACCGGCTCTCGCCTTAGAGGGAATAGTGGAAGTGGAAGCAACCCCCACTTCTGGTGTTGGTAATAGTTCCTTGTTCCATGCTTAACTGAATAGCTCTGGATGTATCTTATTTGAGAGATGTGTTAAGACATTCGCTCACCATTCCAGCAAGACCAACTTTAGAAATGGTCCATAAAAGTATGATTTTGTTCAACGTCCCGGATAAACAAATAATTTATTTTATTTAAATTTTTGAACTGTGTATGAGAGCGTAGTAGCACTTCATTAATTTTCGCGGGTAGCTTTTATATACAGCTTGATTCAAATAAAGTTAAGGGGTGAAGAGTTCAGTGTAATGTAAATTTTAATTTTAATTTTCAAAAATTCCTAAATATGATGCAATATTAAAAAATAATTTAGTTCATGTACTATTTGTGTTATTGTGACACCAAAGTTGGTAGGTGATTTTTTTTCAAAGACACACAATTTGTAGGTTTTGCTAAT